AAGACTTTTGACAACTTGTAGTTCATCATTTTTATCACTAGTGTTGTAGATTCATTTTTTCATAAAAGTCAGAAAGGAATAGCCACCATGTGAAGTATCTATCATGGCCACAGTGTACATGCATACTGCACTGCACATCTGAAGGGACCACAAATGTCTTCAGTATGTGTTAATTATCATTGATTGATATCATGTGCAATTATAACAGTAAATGAGCAGTAGGCTTCTTCCCAGGCCACGCCTCTTTTGCATATTTCTTCTTCGGTTCCGAGTCCGACAAATAGCATCTGACGTTATTACTATTATAGCCAAGTAATTTATAACGAGCAAAATACCGTAACCCTCGCTGCGCATGCGCGCCGAGGGTTAATAACAGCACATGTGTCTCAGGAAAATAATACACAGAAAGGATAGGCAACTTCAACAAACCAGCATGCAATTAGCTACCATGAATCAGTATGTAAGTGTTGTCAAAAGATTATTACATCAAAGTCAGATTTGTATGTAGGTGTAAGACAGAATAAGGCTGTACACAGTCAGACACTATGTGAAGTGAGAGAGTCTGAAAACACACAGCACGAGACACAGTGTCTGTGTTCCATTGGCTCCTCTGACGAGGTGGGTGTGGCCTGTTGCTGGGATGAGTCACCTTCTGGCTGGGGACTGGAATACAACACAGAAAATATCATCTACAGCTATTCCGGATCCAAGATGAAAAGTGTACATCAACTTTTTCTTGAGAAGGCCAGAGGTTTAGTTCTCACATGCCATCTACACAGAATGTTTCCTAGCGCTAACATTGATCATTGTGCTATTGCACTGTAAACAGGAAAATGTCTTACATTCGCACTAAGATAAAGCACATTTTCATGATTTGTGGGACTGTTGTACCTTGTCTGAGCCTGCTCCCCAGTTTCCTCCATTGGTTTGGCCCTCTCTCCCTCTCCCCCCTCCCTCTCTTCCTTCCCCTTCCCTCCTCCCCCCTCCTCCTCCCCCACCCCTGTCATCTCCCCCTCGTCTCCCTCTTCCACCGTCTCTCCCATCGTGGCAGGACCTTCTTTCTCAGGTTTGGCCTCACTGGAGTCTGCAGCCTCTGGTCCCGGGCTGGCTGACTTGGCTGCAGGAACAGAGGAGAGATGAGAAAACTATATACACATACAGTAGAGTAGCTGCTAAAAATATAATGACACCTCCACTTTTGCCATAAAGAAGTTGCCCTTTTCTAAGAGGTATAAAATACACTTTAGAGTGTGTCTCTACTTCAATTCATGAGCCTACAAAAAAAAAGTAAAATAATTGACACTCTTAATGAGTCACGGGGGTTGGTAAATCAGCACTAAAATTGAGGCGAGTATATAAGGTTTGCTAAAGGGAGATAGGGATATATAGGTGCAGCGAGATAGAGTACACTTTTCCATAGTCCAACTATAGTAAAAGAACTCTTAATGAGTGGTGGGGGTTGGTAAAGTGACACCAAATTCGAGGCGAATAAGGATTGGTATGGATGGATGCACATACATACGACTGAGTCTCACCAGTCTTCTCCTGGGCAGTCTCAGCCTTGCTCTCCTGGCTGTGTGGCGTGACCAGAGGACTGGGGGTGATGGGAGATGGCTCCGGGGGTACGGGACTCTGGATGCTCCCTCCACCTGCAGTGACAGTTATAGCAGGGAAGAAATGGACACTCTCGTTGCGTCGGCCGTCTACCTCGTCCTCGCGTCAGGAGATCCTCATTCTTGGCTATCATCTTGCTCTTGGACATGCTCTTCAGGGGGGGGGGGGGGGGGGAACTGGCAAGCTATAATTGGCATGCCGAAGCGAGCCAACATAGTTTTTTCAATGCGGGAATTTTCGTAATGTGATCGGAGATTGGGTACACACATTTTGTAATGGGTTTACGTGATTCTCATATGCGCAAAACAAATATCGAAGTTGTTTGTTGAGACATTGCTAGAGAGAGAGTAGTTCTCACGTGGATCCTCCGTCGGGATCATCCTCAGTTGGTTCTGGGTCCTGGATCATGTCCTCTGGGATGGCTGTAGATGTACAGTACACAGTCTAACATGTACAGTAGTGAAATAGTGAACTGTTTTACCACATACATGTACACATCAGTAACATACGACATTGCATGGGGACACTGGGAGCATGAGGAATAAGATAGATGTTGGAAATACGTAAGAGATGATGTAAGAATGATGTAATGTCATACGTACATTGCATGGGGACACTGGGAGCATGAGGAATAAGATAGATGTTGGAAATACGAACGAGATGATGTAAGAATGATGTAATGTCATACGTACATTGCATGGGGACACTGGGAGCACGAGGAATAAGATAGATGTTGGAAATACGAACGAGATGATGTAAGAATGATGTAATGTCATACGTACATTGCATGGGGACACTGGGAGCATGAGGAATAAGATAGATGTTGAAATACGAAAGAGATGATGTAATAATGATGTAATCGTCATACGTACATTGCATGGGCGACATACGTGTAGATGCAGGATGCCAGCTGGGAGAGGAGCAAAGCGAGGTAATTAATAATTCATAGCACCTGTTTGTAATAAAACACTTGGCTGAGAACTGGAATGTGTCACCCACAAAGGGACATTTATACCCCTTGACATGAAATTACCATTAAAATGCGTTTTTTGAAGAAGACAATCTTTTGCATAATCCCACATATCTACTTTTTAAAGTATTATACCCTACATATTTTTCATTTTTGAACTCTTTATTTGCCACACTTAGTTTGGGATATACCACTCTGGTTCTCGGCACTTTATATGTCCCCCATGTCCCAATGAATGATAGCTGGTTGGTTACCTGGTGTCAACGATGATGACTTCAAAGAGTCTTCCTTGGATTTATCCACTCCTCCTGAGCTATCACCACTGGATCCACTCCGTATAGCCGATAAAATCATTATTATGTTACGTATCTGAATTGTAGTTTAAGATCAAGTGCATATTAAACACACAGTTAAAGGATGTGAAGTGAAATACACTCCAGCTTCAGAAGGAGACAGAGAAATTTGTGGTCCCTGCCACCAAAAAAATTGCACAGATGACTCGGGCAGGTGAAAATGTTTTCGAAGTTTTTCCGAAGTAAAAAGGTGTCAGTAACATCTATCAATGGTCCTTCAACACTACACAGTTACCTGCCATAGAAGGGAACGCGAGCCTTCGTGGCGTTCTGTTTGAGTTGGTCGAAGGCACCAGCTCTGAACGTGTTGGCACACGCCAGACATGTCTTCCAGCCCTTCTTCTGGTAGTGGTAGGCCAACTGCACACACACCACAACATGGAGATATGTATAAATTTAAATAAGGTGGTCAACGATTTCGCATTTTTTGTAGGCACAAGAGTGGAAATACGGAAAAATCAACTACCCTTAACACATTGACTACAGTTGGAGTATGGAATGGTAACATTCTCCATCTCGCTGAACCTATCCCTATCTCGCCCAATTTTTGCTGTCACCACCTAAATAAGGGTGTCAACGAGTTTGTAGGCACAAGGTAACATAATGTAAAGACAGGTTGCACATATATGAATGGTTGTACCCTGACCTTGGTACAAGTGGTAGTCTTTCCACTGCCCTGAAGACCCACAAACATGATGACAGTTGACCGACCCTTCGTGGGGTGCCAGACCGGCACACCCGGGTCCAGCAGTTGGCAGAGTTCGTTGAAAACTGAGGTCTGGATGATCCTGCGCTTGCTGAGTCCCGCTCCCATGTCCTCAAAATCTATGGCAGCTCTTAATAGTGAGAGAACACAACGTCAAACTTGTTGTAAATTTATGGCACTCTTATGAAAGAGACAGAGTAAGGATCAACCATACTTTCAATAACCACCTTATTGTGGTACCGTCGAAAGCAACCTAGCAGTGTTATGCGTTAATTTCACTAGTAGGGATGACAGAACTACAATGACAGAAACTGTAGCCCTAACGCTTTCTATAGCGTATGTATAGCTATACATGTTCATTACCCGACATTCTGACGTAGCTTCCCAACAAGTTTCACGTTCACATCAGCTTCCAAAAGAGCCGTACATATCTCCTTCAGCATAGCCTGGAGGACCTATAGGAGACACCAATACAATCCCACGATATGTATCACTACGTATGAGACTCCCTCGTCTTTCACTCGCTCTCAGGAGTAAAGCTATGCTCTTTACCTCTTCATTGATAACAGTGGCGTTGCCAAGGAACCGCAGAGCGGTCGTTATCTTCCTCCCCAGGTCAGCTAGCTATAGCACCATCTTTTTTCGAGCGAGGCGACGGTCGACACACGCACGAGTTGTTGTTTTGTGTGGTGCAATATTTTTCAGTCTACACGAATAATTGGAGAGAAATACGCACGAGCCGCATGCGCGCGCCTCCATAAATAATAATTTTTCAAAAGGTGTTCTAGAAAAAAAATGAGGGAAAGCACCCTAGCTGTTCAAGTACGTAGCTACTGTGGAAGATACTTCTGCTGTATCTTGTCGGCCAGGGTATTGAGTTCACAGCGACGAAGATTATCGACAAGGGTCTGCCATGTCAGTAGTTTCCCTTCCCTGCAAGACAATTTTGCAGAATTTTCATTGTTACATCATGGTTTTGTCTAAAGTAGTCGTGCTCGAGGACTTCAACCTTGCAGCTGGTCTTGTCGTTCAGAGGAAATGTTCCAAGCTTTCTGTTGTTTGTTCCGACTTCCTCTGGAGCATTGAGTTCATACAACTGCTCGAGAGTCGGCTTCTTTGTGTTGGTGGGTGACATTTCAAACGGTCAAACACCTGTTTGATAGTTGTGGAGATTGTGTCTTTGATTTCGAAGCATATCTCGGCCACGTCGTCTTGGTCGAGGCCTTCCCCAGGCCTGACGTGCACTTGGAACGTGTGGCCAGTGTCAACCAGAACAATCTGACTGGGAGTCTGAGGCTTGTAGAGGGAGACGACGTTGTGAGCCAGGCACTTTGGGGAGCCATCGTCAGCTCTGCTCAACTTCCAGTCTTAAATGGCCATGAGGCAGGATATGGTCCTGGAGAAACAGCTGAGGGGGTCACAGTTGTTGGTGAACTGGACCACCAGTGGAGCTATCTCGGAGGAGGGTGGGGGGAGGTGCTTCGAGATGTCATTGTGGGGATTGGCTGATCGGAGACTCATCATAAGATACTTTCTATCCTTGGTGGCTGGATCATAGCTGGTGTCTGATGTTGGCTGAACGCCGCGACTCAACTGAGCCAATGTGAATGTGTGGGAGAGAAGCTCGATGGCATGTTGTGGCTCATAGAGGTCAGGGATAAAGCACTGTGTGAGCTCCTTGTGGCTGAGTATTTCCTCTGTGATTACGCCATCTTTCAGAAAGGACACCATATCCTCTGATGTGCACCTCTGAGTCACTTCCCCACGCCCTACCTTGTAGCTGAAATTTACCACGGCATTGATACAGTCGAGCGGTGTTTGAGGCCTGGTGAAGACGAGGTTGGGGAGGATGCGGTGGAAGTAGAGAAGCGTAAACTGGCGATCGAACAAGATCAAGGCAGCCTCCATGCACTTCATCTGGTTTCATCTTCAGCCTTTCTCTGATCCTTGTTCTTGGCAAACTCCACCAGTTCCTGTTCTAACAGCAGAAAGGACCCTTGTGTCTTGACCACCTCTCCTACCTCACTCTTACTGACCTCACTCCGGATTAGGTCCATTCTCATCATGTCATCATCGTCAGGATCATTGAGGTTTAGGACAGATAGAATCTGATTGGCTGAAAATCTGATGAGCTCTTTCTTGCTGGACGGCAGCAAGATAGCTGTGAGGGCCTAGTCAAACGCCTCGACCCTAGCTGGCAGCTCACCTTGTGGCACCATGTCTCAGTGTGTTGCCACTACAAGTAGCGGCAGCGCTGGCCTTCTCTCTGTGAGAATCTCTTTGCTTGCAGGGTGGACGCCAGCTTCTGTATGATCTGCCTGGTTGGAGTACTGGGAAGGTAAAGATCGCTGTTGTAAGCCTCTCCCTCCTTTACATAGCGATTGCACTAGCGGATCTGTCCTCCCTCCTCGTGGTAGTCAATGGACGGATGCTC